AAAAAAAAAAAAAAAAAAAAAACAATTTTTACATTTCTTCATCAAAAAACTTATTACATATTACATTTCATAGTGAAAGCATCTTAATTGGGCACATTTAATCAATGCTATTTTTTTATGTACCCATCAATATCAACAAGTCTACTAATTGGGCGATAATAAAATCGCATATATTTGGGTTAAAGCTGCGATTCAATACCAGTTAATGTTGACAGTAAATAGTGTACACTAAAAGTCAAAAGTCAATACACTCTTTGAATGAGACAATAAAATTTGCTTTAAAAAGTTACAATTAAACTTTTCCAGATAAATAAGACATTAAAAAGAAGTGAAGTGAAATGACTTGAATAAAACAATCTCATTTACTGGTTTATTAGACTAAACCTAGAAAATAAGTGATAATTAAAAATTTATGCTATCTTCACGTCAGACGGTATAGTGTTCTACTAAAAACTGTAAATTATTATTAGGTAACATTTTATTTTCATAGATAAGATAAAAAGAAATGGTGTAAAAGTTATATTTTAACTAATTTTTATAAAACTACAATTTTTTTTTTTGCTACATAAGCTCCAGTAACCTTATTAAGAAATTTGGAACGTCAAATAAACAGTTTGAACAATGCAATTTTTTTTTTTTAGCATATCTCATAACTCATCTCTTTAGCAGATACAGGAGAAAATAGTGTAAATTGAGCAAATAACGATGGTCTTCAACAACGTTCTATGCTGTACAAGCCAAAAAAAGTGCATTATTTTGAGCAGATAAACTTTATGCAGAAAAACTTCAAAAGCTTCATTTTCTGACCAGGTTAATGCTTAGGTCACTGTTTTTAGTTGCCTAATTAACAACTTTAAAAAGTGTTTTGGGAGAGTATATTAAACCTCTCAAATACGTCATTTATAAACTTTTCTCACGATTCTGCAAAATATTTAACTCTTATTTTAAACTTGATTTAAAAACAGCTAAATATTAGTCGAATATCCATGACAAAGTTTTTCGGTAGCATTTGAAAATTCTATCTATTTGCTGAGGGCTCCAATGCGTATGGTGTAAAACTGTAGGAAAACGACATTTGAAATACTGTCACCTTTATCAGTTGTTGTCGATGATCAGTAAAAAAAATTTATACTTTAAATTTGCTCTTCTTTGTACAGCTTTTATAAGTCTATTGGCCCCTGTAAACAGTACAATGCCACCTGAATTTGCAAAAGAAACGTAGTATATTGAAAATAGGAAGGGACTCTTTTAGTAATAAAACTGTTTCTGTAAAAATAGCATTTATTTGTACGTATATCAGATACATCTTCATCTATCCATACTACAGTAAATATTAACTGTTCTTGTAAGTTTCCTATATATTATAATGTTGTTTATCATCTTTTAAATAACTGTTTGGTTTAGGTTAACGAAACAGCAACACTGGTTTTCAGCTGATGACAACTAGATGAAGGGGAAAAAGGATGAGGGAACAGGAAACGATAACAACATCACTTCCGATAGTAATAACAAAAAAAAAAGCACTAAGAATAAAAAAAATTGACTATTCAAAGAGGTTGCTTTATGAATG